GTCACTTGTATTGCACCCACCGACTTCAATAGGCAGGGTGTCCAGCCCTGTTGTGTCTGGTTTTATGCCAGATAATCCGAACAGAGCAAGTGTGGAAAAATCATTTTCCTGGTAGTGTTCGTCTTTTTTAATGAACATGACAATAGCTCTGCCTCTCAATTAAGGAAGGAAAAAGAGTATGCGAAAGTGTCATCGGCACAAAACCCCCAAAGGGCACACAGAGTAAAGTAAAACACACAGCACACATGTCATGGGGGATAGATACAAGGTCGAGGTCAGGTTGTTGAAGACCCTAGAGCATAGGTCGATGTCCTCTTTGGTTTTGGAGGCTACCCGCCAGACATCCATCACCAAATTTTGAAAAATCCTTCTATTTCTTTCCTTTCAGATGTTCCACATTGTGTAGATGACCACCCCGTTGAAGTGTCTACGTCTCTGCCTTGGGATGTTGGCCGCCCCCACTTCCCACCACGCCCTTATGCTAGATGGTTGCACCCAAGGCGAATTAAGTCCACATCGAAGTGTTCCCACCCCAGCACAAGGCGCCAAACTTCTATGGCCGAAGTGTTTGTTGTCTTTAGTCAAGTGTTTGGACTATGACAGTGTTTGGATTTTGTGATATGATATATATATATATATAACTATAGGATTTTGATATATATATATATATATATATATATACACGAGTCTGTCTATTTGGCATCCGTGTGTTTCCTCCCACCCCATACTCAGAATTTTTCTTCACACTGTTCTTCTTCCTCCTCCAGCCCCGCCGCCGTTCCTACTCGTCCTCGTCGCCCCCACCGCCGACCACCGCCCCGTCGCGGGCGCTAGGGTTCGCCGGAGCTCCGACGAGCTAGGGCCGCGACCCTAGCTCGCCGGAGCTCTGGCGAACCCTAACGCCTGCGGTGACCTCCCTCTTCCCCTTCCCCCCTACTGCCGTCATCTTCTCTAGCTCGCTCGCCCGCCGTAATCTTCTCCAACTCCGGCGAGCCTCCCTCGCCCTGACCTGGCCCGGCCGCCCTTACCACCGCCAGCTCCCCTAAACCGCCCGGCCACCATCCCCACCGCCTAGCCTGCCTACCCCCCCCCCCCCCCCCCCGACCGGCCCTTCTATACCCACCGGAGTTGGAGAAGAAAGAGGGGAGAGCTCACTGGAACCCTAGTCACCACCGCTGTCATCTTCGCGTCTCGGTGGAGGAGGAGGACCAGACGCCTACCTCGTCGGCGTCCATGAGCTCCGCCGCCACCGCCGCCGCCGCAGCCGCCGGAGGGGAGGGAGGAAGGAGTCGCGAGCTCGACCGAGCGTGGGATCGGACGGCCTCCACCTGTTCCCGTGCGGATCTAGGCTCCAGAAATCGCGTGTGGGGAGCTCCTAGAACACTCGGGTGTTCTATAGCTTTCTCGATATCCTTCACTCTTTCACTTATTAACTTTAGCATAATTTGAAACAAACTGACTTTAGGCTAATTTGAAACAAACTTATTCATAGGCATTCACTCCTCCCTCACAACTCTCTAGAGCTTATCTTGGTAGGATTTTATTGTGAGTTGGTGTGAGGGCAATGATTCAAGGCGGATCTTCACTTCCATCCGAGTAATCATGTCTTCCAACATCTAGCACCAACTGTTCAACAAGATGTATAGCTTGGTTTCACCTATTGTTCAACATCCAGCACCAACTGTTCAACATCCAGGGAATAATCACTGAAAAAGTGAAAAGTAAATGCAGGACTTCATTTTTAGTGAAATATATGACTTTAAAAAAATGAGAATTTGGCTTATATGACTAACTACAAAATTATTCCAGACTTAAACTATCAGGAATGTAATCTTTAGACAGAGGCAAACCAAGATGGGAATCTAAACCAAAGAAATGAGTCACAGATATAGAAACAAACTTACCATGGATTATCATGCATGAATTTTTTTTGTTAATGTATTCCTTGGGGAAAACAAGACACTTCACTATCCAGTAACAAGAGTTTTCTGGAGTAATAGCTTGAGATCCTCAAGCCTGTAAAGATATAACAGCTGTAATTTATCTAACACACAAAAGGTCTCAAATGTCAATCGAGCAGAACCTACCTGACATTACTAAGGTCAGGATAGGTAGCAATTGCATCCTTGAAATCCTATGAAGAAGTTAGCAGATCAGGATACAGTTCAATTACAGTGAACAAGAACTAGAGCTAAAGATCAATCTTACTTGGCTAGCAGTTGAAGGTGTATATGTTATTATACATGACATCCCTGCCCCTTTTGCAGCCTATAAAAGGTAAATGTATCTCATAGTCAACAGGATTAGTGCGGTTAATCAAATACGTACTTGGAAGACTTACTAGTAATCCAATAACACTATCCTCAACCACAAGGCAGTTCTTGCTTCCCACACCTAATTTCTGGGTACAGCAAAGGAGGTCCTTAACATGACCAACTCTGGATATATCATATATATATGAAAAAACAGACAAGACTTGATACTAGTGTTCACTACCTCTGATGCTGTTATATATATTGTTGGATCAGGCTTCTTTAGTTTAACATCATCACCTGCAGTGGAGGCAATTGAGAATTGTGCAATTTAAGGACTGTTGTCTTTATCGCAACCAGAACCTTAGCGACTGCCAGATCCAAATAAATTAAGTTTGACAATTGACAAAGGAGTGATCTGATATTTCACATTTGGGAAATATGATGCAAAGCATCCTCAACAATCTATTGTTTACAGGACTTGCTTAACTGATGACATATTTGTTGTAGTTTTTATATAGTTTAAAGGCATTACACTGTTCTTACAAGTGCTACAAATGCAACCACTATATATTCCTTGTTTTTTTAACATTAAATACAGCAAGGGAGACCCCCACTGTAAAGGATTTTATTGAAAAAAAAGAACATGAGGAGTTTTGTAATTTCTTTTGTTACTGTTCCCAGTGAAATTCAAAAGACTAAAGGTTAAAAAGACAAAAGAAGAGGGGAAAACAGAACCTTACCAGCAAGGAAGCAATCCAGGCCATTAAATCGCTCCTATAGAAACAAGAGCAGAAGTGAGAAAAAAAATAAAACCAGCCAACACAACAGAAGTTTTGGGGCAGACATGTGAAAGCAACATAAATCATAAATTTTAACTTACAAGTCCAATAAGGTTTTCAAGGCACATTATGACTGAACTTTTAGTCGCTGCAGAGCAAACAGCAAGCTTGATACCCTACACCATTGTATAAAGGATAAAAATCACCTCAGAGTACCAAATAGCTATACTGTTGAGAACTCACTGAGGTAATGTGACGAACCATTCAAATTTTTACGAAAACACTAGTACGGAGACAACGAAGATGTTGCTTTGAAAAAATAAAATAAAAGAAAGATACTCCAATAAGTTATATTACCGCATCCTTCACTTCATCCATCAACCGCAAAACACCAGGTCTAGGTTTCACCTAACAATAGAGAGACTCAAATCAGGGTCAGAAAAAAAAGAGATGACTTGTTATGCATATTAATTATAATTATGATGTAAGTTTAGGAAATAATGAAGGCACTGAACTTACAGTTCCAGATTTTATTATTTCTTTGTATCTCTCTGTTTTCCAATCCTGCAAATTAAGTGTTACAACTGTGAAAGTCCTGAATTCAGAAGGTAAAATGGTGTAAGCTGTAATAACGTGTTTTTTCAAGAATGCACAAAAGACTTGCACACTGATAGAGATTAGAGAAGGAGAGAACACAACCGAAGTTCATAGCTAAGATTCCAGTTTTTTTGGATAAATAACATGCAATTGCAAAAGTATAATTGAATGACAGATTGATAATTCGTGTAGAACACACAACTTTTGAAGATAACTTTAAACTAGTGAATGGCTCAAAGTATTTGTGATCCTATCCTGCACCGCAGAAGTGATATTAATGAACAATCCAACATGTTGTAAAACCAAAGATATAAAAGGCAGACCTGAATTATGTCAACCAACTTCTCCTTATCAGAGTCAGTCGAAGGTGGTGTCTCAAAGATCTTTGAAGAAGGCCACCCATTTTCCCCAAAGTACCTGTCAAATCCCAAGCCCCAACCAATTCAGAACCAACGTCACAAAAAGATCCAAGTACTAATAAGGCATGATATATATGAAATCGTTCCCTTCACGTGCTGACAAGCAACAATCAGTGGCGGGCGGGCGGCTGAACAATTGCATTGTACAGCGTTTGTAAACTTCTTACATGTCCATTGCAGAAACGGCAATGTGCCGTGTGATTATCCCAGAGTTCGTAAGTTAACAACACGTTTATGATCAAAGCTTGAATATGCACAAATTAAACCGCAAATATGATTTAGCATCCCACTAACACATAAGCATGGACATCCCAATGCATTTTTTGCGCAAAGCACCAAGCATAAGGCAAGGCACATGGTCATCACTCATCACAAGCAATTAACCAGTAGGTCGAGCAATTCCGTAACGAAAGAAACCAAACTTGCTTACGTACCACCGCATCTTGGGCTTCCCTCCGCCGATGCGGTTCTGTAGGTCGTCGTAGAAAGCCTCGTCCCAGTACAGCGGGTCGGAGGAGGCCGGCGGGCAGCGCACCCCGAAGTTCGCGAACGCGTCGTTGTAGGCCTGGCGGTGGAGGTTCTCTGACTCCAGTATGACGCCGTCGCAATCAAAGATGAGGGCCTCCAGAGACGCCGAGGCAGAGACCATGACGAGCCGGGGCGCGCGGCGGAGGCGCGCGGTGGGGACGCTTGAGGGTGATCGGTTGCTGAAGAAGGCATGGCGGCGAGCGCCGGCACGGGCGGCGGTGGGGAGTGCGAGGGAAGTGGAAGGCACCGTAGTCGGAGGCATCGGGAAGGAGGGAGGGAGGATGATGGAGCGGAGTGGAGTAGGCACTAGGCGCCAACGGTTGCTTATCTGGCTCTTCTCGCTTCTCACAGGGAATTACCATCCTCCCACTGTCCCACAGAAAAGCTCCCCGCCTCATCCAGAGACCAGAGGTCACGCGGCGATGGCGATGGCGGTGGCCCGGCTGACCAGTCTCGCCTGCACTCCCCGACAGGCGCAGCATCGCGGCCGCCATAGCCTTGCTCCGCCGCGCGCCTCGGGTGCGGTGGAGGTGCGGGTCTGCACGAACCGCACGTGCGCGCGACAGGGCGGGCGCGAGGTCCTGGCTGCGCTCGCGGGCCTCGCGCCGCCGCGGGTCGACGTGGGCTCCTGCGGGTGCCTCGGGCGCTGCGGCGCCGGGCCCAACGTCGCGGCGTCCGTCGCCGGGAGCGCCGCGGTGTTCGGCCACGTGGGCACGGCGGCGCGAGGCGCGCAGCTACTGGAGCACCTCCTCGGCTCCGCGGAGTTCGACGCGGCCCTAGGGCTCACCGCGCTGGCCACGAGGGAGAAGGCGAAGGCTGCCCTCGAGAAGGGAAACGCGGACGAAGCGGAAGCCCTTCTGACTGAGGTCTGTGCTGGACACATGCGCCACTCTGCGATTGTGCATGCTCCCTGAGTTGCTGGATTCGAGCTTGATGATTACACTTGTATGTTTGCATAGGTTATTGGGTCCAATGCTTGTGGTGGTCTGCATTTGGTGTACAAGAGCAGGTTCGTTCTGTTGCTTCGAGTTCAGTGTGGGAATTAGTGTCTGTAAGTGTAATTGTGTACTTCGTGTGTAAGTTTGGCATGAAACATCCTGTTGAAATTATGCAGGTCTAAGGCGAGATTGGCAATGGGGGATATCTCTGGTGCACTTGAGGACGCTGAGGAAGCAATAAGAATAGCTCCCAGATTTCCTCAGGTATTTGCTTTACTTAGAACCTCCAAAGTTCCCGAGTATAACCTTTCTTGTACAACCATATTCATGTTCTTACATCCATGGGAGTATATTAGTATAAGGTTGAAAAATACCAGTAATTGATGTCTATGTCTATCTATGTTTTGATCGTCTCAATTATGAATTGGCTTGGTTACCTCCCGTCACCAATGTTAGCTGAACCTACAAACTTATGTGAGTGCCTACACAGAATAGTAACTTCGTGATAGGTGAAGTAAGGAAGGCTTGGTACTTGTAACAATCAACAAAACCAAAGAGTACCCTCATCAATGACTATAAGTAAATGTGACGATTTATACTTATACATATTGGGTACTGTGTTTCTAGTAACATGCTTATTTCTTTTCTTAATGCAAAGAGTTGAAGTGGCACTGGGTGATAGGTGCTCACAATTTATTTGTAACTAACACATCATTCATTATCTGAAATCACTTTGACTTGTATAAATTGGAGGAGCCTCTCGAAACAGTGTTATTTTTCATAAATTGATTTGGTACATTAATCAAAATGCAATTTCATGGTATGACTATAAATCAATACCATTTCCATTTGAGGCTTTGACGAACAGCAGTCTTCAGTCCTCACTGCATCCTTACTTACTTAGGCATGTCAGACATCACTTTTCTCTGGACTGCTGATGTTATTATTATTGTTGTCATTAAGCATGTCATGGTTTTGCACCTCTTATTGACCATGGCTTTGCAGGCTCACTTATTGCGAGGCGACGCACTTTTTGCAATGGGTGAATATTCTGTTGCGGAAGATGCCTATGCAGATGCCTTGGATCTTGATCCATCTATTCGCCGATCCAAGTCTTTCAGGGTTAGCATTAGAGATTTGCCTTGTGGACACTTCAATCTCCTATTCCAGCTATAGCTACATAATTTAACTCTGAAACCTCAATAACTCATGCATTCTGTTGCATTCCCTTGTTCAGGCCCGTGCGGAAAGGCTACGAGAGAAGCTTGTTAGTGCAAATAATCCATAGTTCATTTTGAAGTTTCCTCTCCATCAGAAGTTCCATCCACAAGTAATGTAGATATGCTCTTGGTAGGTCTGAATTGCTCGATGCAACATCTGGAAGTAGAATACATAGATAGCTGCATCCCTTTTGGTTAGCAGTGCACACTGTACAGTTCTCATATTTTTTTTCTTTCTCAAACACACAGTGTCGAGTGTCCTCTTTATTATTGTTGTCAAGCTGATATTTGCAATAAGTGGGATGATGAGATTAAGATGTTGGCAAATTGCAATGATTTCGGTTTTGGGTTTTTTAATATAAGATGTTGATGATTAAACAGGTGAAGGTAATAATGCTCACGCACTTTGCAAGCCACTGGTAAGGAATTGATTGTTGCCACAGATTGGAGGATCCAACAGTTCATATGAATGTAGGGCATTGCTGTTTTTCCCACCTGAACTGCACTATGATCTACAAACTTAGAATAGTCTAATGGATTTTATTGTATATTTGTGCTTGACAACGTAACCTACTGATTTCCAAACCATGCTAGTATGTATTGAGATTTGAGAGCCATTCTCATTTCAAAAAATTGTTTCGTTTCACTCTTTGTTGATATAATCTTGGCATTCTCATTTAGTTAGCATTTAATTATTTATTTGCATTGATAAATGGGAAATTTGGAATACCTCCAAGGATTTAATGTTAATCATAAAAAAAACTTAAGCCCACTCTCTATTCATTCATTGCACCATCATATTTTTATTCATGGGAAAACAATATACAGGATACCTAACAACCTCTTGGAGTTCATACACATTCTCTCGGTTTTCTTTTTTCAGAGTCAGATCATCATTTTCTGATATCCTATCAATTGCCTCAGTTCAGTAGGAGGGACTAACCAGTCATGATTTCAATAATAGTTATTCTCACTCTTGTCCTCTTTTTTATTCTTATGGGACAGTATAAAGTTATCTACCTTTTCGTTAGCAGGGCTTCTGGAATTTTGTAATGATTTCATTTGGACTGATGAGAACAAACTACTAAGTTTCAACTACAAGTGCTTTGAAGGTGACGGCAATGCAACATGGTTATTTGCCTCCACTCAGCTGATATGTTCATCTTTTTTGGATTCATACAGAACAGATGTGTCGGGAACCTAATACCGGGGTACTCAAGGAGATGAAACCAATAACCATCGAACGTTAAAAACTCCCGAACGGACAAAGAACACCGCTGCGCTTCTTGCCCGAACGACGGGAGTTTTGGTTCCGCCTCGCCCGATGCCCGTCAGCCAGCTCCGCCTCCCCCGACGGCTGGGGGATGGCTCCACCTCGCCCGAGGGCTGAGGGCTAGACTCCGCCTCGCCCAAGGCCCGTCGGCCAGCTCCGCCTCCCTCGATGGCTGGGGGACGGCTCCACCTCACCCGAGGGTTAAGGGCTAGACTCCGCCTCGCCCGAGGCCCGTCGGCCAGCTCCGCCTCCCCCGATGGCTGGGGGACGGCTCCGCCTCGCCCGAGGGCTGAGGGCTAGACTCCGCCTCGCCCGAGGCCCGTCGGCCAGCTCTGCCTCCCCCGACGGCTGGGGGACGGCTCCGCCTCGCCCAATGCTCGTCAGCCAGCTCCGCCTCCCCCGACGGCTGGGGGACGGCTCCACCTCGCCCAAGGGCTGAGGGCTGAGGGCTAGACTCCGGCCAGCTCCGCCTCCCCCGATGGCTGCTAGACTCCGCCTCGCCCGACCCCCGAGGGTTGGGCTCCGCCTCGCCCGACCCCCGAGGGCTGGGTTCCGCCCCGCCCGATGTCCAAGGATTGGCTCCGCCTCGCCTGACAACTGTACCCCGCTCCCTCATGATGCTAGGCACAGGGTAGGACAAGACGTTCGGGTCAACCACGGCATCAAGGACCATGCCCTGCGCCCCTACCGGGAGAGTACCGCCAGGCATGACGGGGACAGTGCTTAGACCCTTCCGCGTAGGCAGAGCTGAATAGTATTAGGCGCGCGTGCTCTTCGCCTCTACAGTGTTGTAGGCGCCGCCTTCAAACCACCAAAGCGAAGAACCCGACACGGACATACGACAACCACTACGCTCCAGGAGAGACTCCGTCCCTCACTGTGGCGCGAACAAGCGATCATCGCGACATCCGCTCCCCTACGGGTCGGGGTTCAGCAACTCTATTCGACGTGTACGCCTGTAGAGAGGGCGGATGGGACGCGGCCACTTGCTAAAAGAGGCCAGGGCATGGCCTACGAAGATCAGCGAACACACCACTTCTGACACGGTCTACCATGTTATACAGGGCAGGCGCTGGGAAAAAGGAAGACCTGAATCCTTCGAAGGACCTTCTATACCCTTGGTATTTTCCTCTTTCTCCCATCTGTAACCCCTGCTCCCCCCTTGGTCTATAAAAGGGAGGGCAGGGCTCCTCACTAGAGGGACCGACTTTCAACGAACAACTCACATACAGACGAACTCATAGAGGGTTCAGTTCAACTCACATACACAGCCAAGCTGCCGTCAGGCTCTTGGCCTCCTTTCGACCCTTCCATCAGAGACCTGGGACCAGTCCCTCTCTCGACCGTTTGTACCCCCTACTACAAACCGTTTTTAGCGCTAATAACACGAGCAGCAACAGACTGGACGTAGGGACATTCAGCTTGAACCAGTATAAACCTTATGTCTTTTAGCGTACCATCCGGGCCTAACGCGTATAATTATAAATTTACTAGCCGGTGCTTGTTCGAAACACCGACAAGATGTTATCACAATATGTTGTTAGGTAAGTATTTCCATGCTTTGGCACTTCATGTGATGAAAATTTAGTATCAAATCAAGTACTCCTGTAATCTGTATTCATTTGCATTTTGCAATTAGAAACTATTCAGATATTTATACATAGTTTCCGGGAAAAGTTGCAGTTTTTATTCATTGTGCTTCTGAGTATTTGTGACCATTGATGTCCTTTGCAGAAAATAGTTTAGCATCCCTTTGATTGTACCTTTTATCATTCTTTTATCTCACCTTGTGTTCCTTGTGCATCTCTTAGGTAGAACCTTTCTTAATCTTGGCCCCTTTGGGTGTTATTTTGTGTAGTGGTAGCTTTTTTAAGTCCTGTTACGTATCCCAATAATCTAGGACGATTATTCTAAGTTTTGGTTGAATTAAAAATGGTGCCTTCTCCCTTGACCTAACCAAAGAAAGAAAAATGTTTTAACCAAGGCTTGTGATCGAGACGATTAAGTTTAGCATACACATGGGGTACGCATGTTGGCAGCAGATGGCTTGTGCTCATTTTAAGGACCTCATGGTGTGCTGGCATCTGAAAGAGTCCTTTCCCCTCTTTTCGTGGTGTGGCTTTCTGAAGTTACAACTAACTGCTGCACACATACATCATGAGAATTTGTATAACGTCCTTCACTGCCAGTTTACCTTTTGTTGGCGTTGTGGTTGGTAATTATTGTTGGTATTTTGACACAATATTAGTTGGTGGGTTAGTTAATACATAAAATTGTCCAATGCTATTAAACATCAAGAACTGCTGGTCTTTTTTACTTACAAAAGCCGTTTGTAAGCATGCTCAAATAATGGTTTCTCCAAGCTTGGTCTCTTAAGCTTTCTCTCAACATATAAAAGGAAAGAGGGAAGAACTGGATAGATAAGGAGAAAATATGATTGAGGTCAGTAGTTACAAAGCACATTTAGCAAATCTAATAGCCAAGCATTTACAAAACAGCACTGAGCACTGGTTTTGTAGGATTCAAATTGTAGCAGCTGCTTGATGCCTGGCATTTTCAATTTCTTTATCTTTTTTAGGTGATATATCCATTATTTTATTTTATTTTGTTTATGAAGGTATGATTGTTCCTATAAAGTTTTATCTTCATAACTGAATGCTGACCAGCGTGGAGCCCATGTGTATGCCACATAAAGGAATCAGTCCTTTTTGCACCCATATTTTTTGGGAAGATAGCTCTTTTTGTCCCCAAAGTCAGTTGGCATATATATTTTTTTATAGAAACAAGGATATGGGTCTGCATATGGCCCACAACGTTGAAGTCTGAACTTGCAATTCTGGTCTTCAAAGCTGACCAGGCCAATTTGGCCTCGCTGCCAGCAAATTGCCACCTTGCTGAGATTCCACACCAGCTTTAGAGATAGGGAAACTAATTTCCTTCGTACCAAAAATTTTTTGGGTCCATCACCTGGATTGGTTTAAGCACATGCAGGATGATGAGAACATTCCTAGCATGCTATATTTATTATAAAATTTTAAAAGGGCGGAAACATTAGCTGTTCTGATTGTGATGTTCGGCTGATTGGCTGCCCGTGTGATGCAGTGTATAGAAAGAAAGCTTATATGGATAACGTTGCTGAACTCGCACATTGTCTGCTGGCTTTGATTTGGTAAACGCCAAGTCCTGTCTTAGACATTAAGATCTTTGAAATTTCCATACCGTTTATATATTACACCAAATAATTGTATCAACGCCAGCCATTATTTTTTCAGTTGCAGACATGCCTTGATGCCCTTATGATACCTTTTATGATGCAGCCATGCATAAACAAAATCCTATGTGGTTGTGACTTGCACCACCTGTATGAGAAAATGATAAGGTCAAGGGTGTAGCAATTTCATTTTCTGTTCCTCTGCTGAATCATCTGTGTCTATTGTATTGTATCTGCAGTTCGAATCCCAACCCCCTTCACAGAATGTTAGCACACCCATTTATTCCCCCAAGTGCTGCAATGTGTTACTAAACCAAATGCTTCAGCAACTTAAACTGTGTTTCGACTAGCTGCTAGAAACCATTGCTGTCATAATCCCTGTGAGCTTTTGTGTAATATTGGTATGTGAACTTGTGTTGCTTGTGAGGTTGCCGTAGTTCAAGGCTGCACATCTCAGACTTGAGGTGTACCCTTCCCCAGCTCCCCCCTCCTGTAAACAAAACAGCCGGCTGAAGCTCCCCGCAACATCAATACAATACAACAGAGCTGAATGGTGTCTGTCTACGTCAAACGGGCCTTTGATT